CTTACCTTCTCTGGGTCACAGTTCATACCGTTAGTTCTCCTCAGAGGTCTTACCTTCTCTGGTGTTCTCTCCGAAGTCGATAAGCAGAACTAGCAACACAGTTTTCTTCCATAGCACACTGTAGGTGCATTAACTGCTTTAACTCCAAGTAAGCCGATTGTTCAATCTCTTTGTCGTCTGGAATCAAGTCAGGCATTGCTGAAAACGTAAAATCCAATCAGTTTTTCGTGCTGAGAATAGCTTACAAACCGAGTTTCAAACAGTGAGCCATTTTTTTATTTATTTTACAAACGACCGTCCCAGTAGATACTTTTAATATATATAAACATGACAGTTTCTATCAGTAAAATTTATTAAAAGTTTGAGCTCTGTACATTGAATCATTTTGATGTAATGAGTTACGTATGGCTAAAGAGAACAAATCCGAACACTTTTCCAGTCAGTACTTCCCACAAAAAGAAATCCTTTTTTAAAGAAAATATTCACTTTTTTCTATTTTTTTTTAAATGAAGTATGAATACTACAATCAGTAATTACTAGCACAAACAGCCGTGGGGGCGTTATAATGTGACGGTCAAAGAGTAGTCTCAGAGTTGGCGGTGGGTGGTGTTTACTAGCTGTCTTCTCTCTAAATTAGGGACGGATAGCGCAGATAGCCCTCGCGTAGCTTTGCACGAAATTCGAAACAAACAGTTTAATCTCGTCTTCGTTTGAAAAATCGGAAGCGTTTTTTCCCCCATTTTACATAGCCTCGTTCTCAGCGTTTTACCGTCCATATTTAACATAATTTATTCTCTTGAGAAATAAAAAGGATACCTACATGGAATCCACCAATGTCTCTGCTAGAATGTTAAATGAACTAAATTGATCATTTAACGCTCTTTACTGATAGTACACCATCAACCGAATTATCAAAGATGTTTTAATGACAGAATAATATATTTATCCGGAGCTGCTTTACGCTCTTTATTGAAAATACACACCGACTTTAAAAGTCGGAGAGATATTTCTTATTATCTGTTTTATTTACCATGTTCGAGGATTATCCATCATGTCACATGATCAGTTTATTTCGCACGTGCTAAGAGATGGAACGTTCTAGAACTGAGATGACTCTACAATAGACTAAAATGTTTGCATTAGCTTAATGGACGGATTGTTTCAATAAATTTCGTAACCTGGAAACAAAGCCATAACGTGGCAAAAGATTGTTATAATTATTGAATGATGTCTCGTTTGGTACTTTAGTCATAAGTCTGTATTAAATAGGCTTAAGTAGCGAGTACAAACATGTAACTTAATTGTATTGTTGTTAAAATTCAAATAATAATAAAAGGTGCTTCCATCTGACGGACAAAAGAAAATATCAAATAAACTAATTTAAATTTAAGGTATTGCCTGTTTTCTTACAAGACTCCCGTACTAAATATTGAAGACATTAGACATTATGTGGGAATTGAAGGTTTACCTTTTGCACAAATAACACCAGCAATACTACGGTCTCTTTCCGGACAATCAACAACTCCAATGTAGTCATGGCGACAAGAAGCAAGGTTGTTTTCGTTCCCTGTACATTTGACTCCACTCAAGATCGTCTGGGTTTGCTGACCTCCGAAATAGGAATTCTATAAGACATTAGCATTTTAGTAAAATATACGTAGTTGTGTAATTATGAAACGTTGCTTTTGTTATGTTAAATAAAAGAGCTTGGTATATCTTTGTAATACCTCAAACCTAAATTCGCAAGACAAAGCGACCTCTGTCAGGCAAGATCTTATGAAAAACACACACTACGTGATTAGAGTCAAAATCTACTATTATCTTTTTATATTTCATATCACTTGAGGCTGTGATTCTGACCTTGTGTTGTCAAAACCCTAATCAATTGTTTCATCTATGACACTCCATCTGCCGGTCAAAAGATGTGAATTGTGCTTACAAGTTATGACCAAAATATTATTTACTATAGAAGTTATACCCCTATAAAAATGCCTGGTATATCCTTGTGGTTAGGGCGCTTGACACGCAATACGAGGGACGCAGGTTCGAATCCCGTCACCGCACGTGTGAAATTCAACAAAATTAAATAAAGTCGGTATAGGGAATACTTGTCTATTGCTATTTAGTTATTTTTCCGTGTG